GTTTTACAAGGAAGCTTTATAGTTTAGTTTGATTTGAATTTGTATCTTTTTTGCATGCTTTTTATATAAAATAAACACTGTTTCTGTTTCTCAGAATCCAAGCTCGGAGTCACTTAAAGCCAAGTATTCGTTCACAGGGCGATATTTTTATTTGTGCATAACATTAAAGAAAAAAAAATCCAAAAAAAATGGATGATATTTTTATTTATTGATTTTACATCAAATTTAATATTATACTAATATACCGGAGATGTTCGTTTATGTGATTAATACTTGAATTCAACAGGTAAGAACGTCCTGAGTATGCCGATCGTTACACACGGTTGTCAACCAATCATGTGATGAATTTTAGTCAACCGGCCAATCAGATTTCAAGAAAAAAATTGGTGGATTAAAATGGATTAAACAAACATATTATAAGTCGAAGTGAAAGCATTAATTTATCCGTAATATTTTGTAAGATTTTTAGAAAGTTAAGCTACCTGATCAATTTTAAAATTATATTGTAAAATGTATAAAAAAAAAATTTATCAATTGTGTAATGACCGGGTGACTCAGGTAATCGTTTCCAAATTTGGGATGTTCTCACCTGTTCTTGAATTCACAGAACTTGTTTTATTGTGAAAACAAAAGACATCGTATTTATTAAACTATTTACAGTATCGAACTAATTTGATAGACTAATCAAACTTCTGCTATATTAATTTTTGTCTAGATATGTTCAATTGTAATTCACCAAATTTGTATACATCCGATCAATCAGATTAGGAAGTCAATGGAGCTAAATGATTACTAAATGGTGCTCCATTGGTTCTATTCGCAGATCTATTAGCCTCTTTGCCCGAGAAAAATTTATTTCTATCAACGTTTAAATGAAGATCCAAAAAAAAAAAAAGCACTATTTTACTAAATTTATACAAGTTAAAATATCTGTGAATTAAACAAACATATTTCCAATTTTCAGATTATAGATTGTCATTTTTTAGGGGCAACCAAAAATGGCTATTCTTTTCTACAATTTGTATTAATAAGGATACAGAATCGCGATAATATTTGAAAGTACATTATGAATGGTAAATCTTGAAATTTATACTCTATTTAGTTAGTAATTAAAATTTAAATTGCATTATAACAATGAATCAGAATAGATGTCATAATTTACTTTTAAATGTATTGTTATAAATCTAATCTATATTGATTATAGTTTTTTCTTTCCTATTCAGGTTGTCAATAATTTTGGCTTAACAATAACCCTTACAGTTAGTACAATCTACATCAATTAACAATTTATAGTAGCTTTATATTTCAATAATTGCAATTTTTAACTTTGTAAGACATGTGTTTGATTTAATTAGTTAGATAGGAAATTTAAAAATGGTAATCTATAAATCATATTTATTTTTATTTGGGATAACTTCTATTTCGAAATTTCAAATCAAAAATTAGATTTTTCAAACCTTATTTTCAAAATAAGTTAACTCTGAAACCCCCTAATAAAATTAAATGATATAAATCACCAGACTCTCCAAATTACAGCAAACTTTAACAGAAATTACCATTCGTTTACACAACAATTCTTTTAAATTTATTCGCAAGGCTCCTCACCGATTTTACCTCCAATGTCCCATATCGGCAACTTTTTGATAAATAAATGCCTTATGTTCATCCTTTTCAACTTCAATTCCTTTATAGTTGTTAAATGAAAAGACGAAATCTAGACCCATAAAGAAAACAGACTCACCATTTGCTGCTAAACCGGTATCTGTCCCAATCGTAGAAACATATGATCTGACGAAACACCAAATTCTTTTAACGAAAGACGAAACCCCAAAACACTTCCTCCAGAAATCTAAATTCTCTGATCAATAGATCCCATCATTAAGAAAATCAACTCTAGTGGAGTTCTTCTGATTTCTGTTTTTAGAGACAAAATGTGTTTATATTATTATATTTATAAAGAGCTTCAAAATGAAATTATTAAAGGGACACCTACAGAATATTCCTTAATAGAAATTTATTTAATTTCAGAAGCATATATTATAATAATATAACTTAAAAAACAAGTTTTTCGTATAAATTATTACACTGATAAAAAGTGAAAGGATAGGAAATTTAATAATATTTAATTTTGATATATTTGTGATCTTAATTTAAATTGGTTTTTATATTGCCAATTTAAATTGTTTGTTTCATATTTTATATATTGATCTATTATATAATATTGAAATAAATTTGGCATAGGCATGGACCATAAACGAGCTTTAAAGAATTTTTTCTTCCTCCGGAAATCTAAATTCTTCGATCAAATAGATCCCATCATAAAGAAGATCAATAACATCCAATATAACCCAAAATGTAAATAAAATTCATTTCATTATAAGGAACAACCACCACACATTGAGAACAGAGATTATTATTTTCCTGAATGCTGCAATCTCAAGCTAGCAATTTGATACTCAATAGTGAAGCAGAAATTCTGATATTTGTGCTGAATACCGAACTTCTATAATTGAAAAATGCAAAACAAGGGCAATATTAAATTCTGATGAAGAACTGTATATAAAATATAATTTGCAAATATTTACTTACCCTAGTAGCATCTTCCGAATAATCAATGTAATATTGCTTTTTTGCCTTATAATTAAATTTTCTGAAGTCAGAGAATCTAATATGGAACATAGAATGCATCCGTTGATGCAGATAGGAATGTTGTGTTTTTGATATTATAGGTGGTCATCAAAATCATAACGTAAATTATAAATAACATACAATCTAGGGTTTCTTTAAATCTATGGTGTGATTTTCAAGGCAAAGACCCCATTTCAGAATGCTTTTATAATATTAGGATTAAGATATTTAAAACGTTACAAAAAGATTTCTTTAAAATATAATGTAGGACACTTCGCTTATGCTGAATTTAACGAAATAAAAGAAATAAACAAAGGTAAGAACAGTTGGGTGATTATATATATTATTTGTTCAATATTCAGTTTACATCTATTCATAAGTGCTGCAAAAAGGGAGAAATTTTTTTTTTTTTAACAATCAGTATTTTTAATTGTATTTATATTTGTTCATAATTTAATTCAATAAAAAGTATAAAAAAGTATTCTGTTAAATACGAATCATAAATCAGAAATAATAGTTTATTATTCCGGGTTAATGTTTTCCCTTGCTGGCACTCAAATGATATTTGATATCAATAGAAATTTGGTGAGATTTTCAAAAGTTCATTTAGGAAATTCTTGTAAAAAATAAATCTAGGAACCGTCAATGTTACACATATAATCCACACCCGGTACAGTAGAGTGTCCAGAATTCTGCGGTGCATAATTTTGCTCGCTCTAAAAATATTTTTTTGTATTGTCTCCATAAGATAAACGTGACTTTAATCATTTTTTAAAAACTAAATACAATACAAAAAGATATTTTTAGAGTGAGCAGAATTATGCACCGCAGAATTCTGGACACTCTATAGTACAGCAATCATCACTCGGTTTTTTATGCAAAAATATGTAATTTATTTTAAATGTGAAGTTAGAACTTGACCAAGATTAAAAATGTCTTCGGAGTTGGAATAAGAAAATCTGAGATTGAAGAAGGGTCTCAAACCACATATGAAATGGTAAAAATTGAATACTTGATTGAAATGATTCAAAAAAAGCTAAGCTGTTGGGAAAAAGGTTATATGAAGGCTTTGCAGTAAAAAGAGCCCAAACTACGTATCATTTTTTTTAAAAGAACTTTTTTTATATAAATCATTTTTGCTTAAGACTCAAAAGTAATTGTATTAATAAAATTTTGCAATATAGCTCTTTAAAGTTTATATTTTCTTATGATTTATTATAAGATTTATAACACCGGTAAAATTGATTTTCCAAAGATCTTTTTTTTTGTTAGTTTGGGCTGCAAAGACTATATCTGATTAAAAGAATATATCGTGGAAATTTAAATATTTAAAACCATTTTTTAAGAAATAGACAATGAATTCAATAAAAAAATCTGATTGAATAGTTTGATCAAACAAACCAATCAGATTCATTATTGAAGTAGAGGCTTGAGAACGCCCTTAATCAAGGCTCTTGGAGCTCTTTACTGACAAAAAGCTATGTAATTAAATTGACATGTTTCGCCTCTGGTTATTTTAATTACCCCGTGACATTAATTTATCATTATTGACTAATTTGTATTATAATTGATAAAAACCCATACTAGCAACACCTAATAGCGAAAGATTTTTGCTTAGCAAAATTTTTTTTACTGGGATCACATAGTGTGTGAAATTATTTTTTACTGGGATCACATAGTGTGTGAAATTTTTTTTAACTAGTGTTACTAACTGCAAGGCTTTTTGCAATGTTTTGCAAGATAATTTAAATTTATTCTTTCCAATTTAATAAATATAGTTCGTTAGTTCACAACTGTAATTACTTGTAAAAAAATGTTAATCTTTTTTTATCATGAGAAAATGAACAGCCAAATTCCTCATTCATATTTGAAAATTCAATCATTGGCTGCTTTACGCATAGCATATATATATGGGCTAGGTGCTGGGAAAATGACAATTTTTTCAAAAGCAATTTTTTTATATAAATAATTTAAAATAAGATTAGAATTATTTTTCTATTAAAACATTAAATTAATAAAATTTCGCAGTATGCTTATTCAAATAAAGTCATTTGGCGAATATTCGAATGGATATTTCCTGGTCTAAATTATTTGATTATATTATTTAAAAGCTCTATGTGTACCATTATAAAAATATTACATAGTTTTCTCAACCGAAAAAAAGGTCAAATTCTTAATCCAAAATAAAAAGCTCCAGGAATATTCCTAAAAAATACGGTTATTAAATTTAATAAATATATATGTATAAGTTATAGACAAAAAATAGAAGCATGAGTAAAATTGCCTTCTCGACATTTTTAATTAGTGCCCCAAAATAAGTTTAGATAGCCGTTATTAACTATTTCTTACCACATACTAATAAATGTTTTTACTTATTTAATATTTTCTATAAATTTGGAATCAATTCCACTTCGGATAACTCCTTCGATGTCAATTCCCAGCTCTTGGGCGGTTTTAAAGACCCATTCTTTTAATTTTAATAAATTATTGGCTTTATTAGCGATCAATGAGAAAGTCAAATGCTCTACGGTATATACCGCTTGGCTAAGATCAATTGATCTTAGTGCATAGTAGGTGCCCAGAGTAATATGAAAATACATATGAATTTCTTGACCGAAGTCAAATGATTTTCTGGCATATTTTAACTTTTTACGCGTTTTGGGACTCATTTTTTCGAAGAAGAAAACTTCAATATGTTTTTGATTTGTTTGGGAGTTTTGGCTTTGCTGGAGATTTTGACGTTCTTGAGAACTCATTTTTAGAAAATTTTTATTGTGATGAGAAAAATTCAACTTATAACTTAAATTATATTTTGCAAATATAATAATACATTCTTATCAGATTGTTCATTGGTAATTGTTGCATCCTTTTATTAAGTTATATTTAGGGTGTCCAGAATTCTGCGGTGCATAATTCTGCTCACTCTAAAAATAGTTTTTTTGTATTGTCTCCATAAGATAAACGTGACTTTAATCATTTTTTAAAAACTAAATACAATACAAAAAGATATT